CAAAAATTAACATGGAAGTCTCATATCCAAGAAGTGACAAAAAAGGCAACCAAAGCCTTTATGACATGTAGATCCATCGCAGGTAAGAATTGGGGATGTACACCAAAGTCACTGCGATGGATATACACAGCAGTAATCAGACCAATGATCACCTACGGATCAATAGTCTGGCAGAACTGCACAAATCAACAAAGCGTTATCAACACACTCAACAAGGTACAACGACTTGCATGTGTAAGCATAACAGGAGCAATGAGAACATGTCCCACTTCATCAATTGAAGTACTCCTGGAACTCACTCCTCTTCATATCTATGTGCAATCACAGGCGAAGAGGGCTGCTCTAAGAGTAAATACAAATAAGGTGACTGGTCTTGAAACCAATAGCAAAAAACTTGATACTTTGGCTGCACAAATCCCAGAAATTGAAATGCCAATGGACAGGATGATTGTAAAGCATAACTTTACAAAAAACTTCAAAATTGAACTTGGCAACAAAAAGAACTGGGAAGGTTTGTCTAACATCCCAAAAATAGAAGAAACCATGATAACATGGTATACAGACGGCTCTCTCACCAATGAGGGAGCTGGAGCTGGTGTTTATGGACCAGGCAAAAAATACTGGGAAGCATTAGGAAACAATACAACCATCTTTCAAGCGGAAATATACGCGATAGATAGATGCGCCAGTTTCAATATTGAACGTAACTACCGGAACCGTAAAATTGCAATACTGACTGACAGCCAGGCAGCTATAATGGCACTCATATCTTACCAGGTAACATCCAAACTGGTATGGGAATGCATTGACAAGCTGAACACACTAGGTGGGATCAATCAGGTGCACCTTTTATGGATTCCGGGACATACTGGTATCCAAGGAAATGAAATGGCAGACAAACTTGCAAGAAGAGGCGCGGCATCAAGAATGATAGGCCCAGAACCATTCTGTGGTCTAGGCAAAGGAGCTCTATCCATTATCATGAATGATGCAGAGAAAAAAGAGAGAGAACTCTATTGGTTAATGCTACCAAGACTCTCACAATCTAAAATGCTTTTAGGGACTTACAACCTAAAACGCTTTAAAGATTGCATAGTGCAATCAAAGACTAACATAAGAATTATTACGGGATTACTGACCGGTCACTGCAGATTGAATAATCACCTATCGAAGTTAGGAATTCAATCCAACTCAGACTGCAGATACTGCAGGGAAGAGAGAGAAACGGCATACCATGTGCTTGGGGAGTGCCCGGCACTGATGCATAAACGAAAGAAACACCTAGGAGGGTATTTCATGGATCATAAGGATTCAAGACTGGGGAAGATAGGATCCATACTGTCTTTCATTAAAGAAATCGGACTTGGAGAAATACTCTAACCCGACAAAGGGGCACAATAGATCTTTTAGGTCGCAGTGCACGATCCCTTACTCAATAATAATAATAAATCAGTGCTCAAGTCTACACCAGGACTTGAAATAATTAATAAGCAATGAGAAATCCACGTCTCAGAAGTCACCGAAATGATCTGCTGCTTTTAAGTTCCTCAATGGTTAATCTCCAATAATTAATTCAATAAATTCAGGTAGTGCATCAGGTAATGCAGGATGAGCACCATCTGCTTCCGCACAAGAAAACATTAAGACAGAAAGGATTGGATTAGAATATTAATATATTAAATAAATATTTCATCAAAAAGGACTTCATTATTTGCTGAGAGAAACAAATCCTCAAACAAACTGTGCTAAACTTGAACTTAAATTAAGGTCTCTAATCAGTATAACCTTAAATTTGAAGGTTTGAACCTTTTTCAGTTCGATTAAAACCAGATAAAAATACTAAGATCCTTTAGCGATTTAGGCCAGTTAGTTAAGCAGAGCTTGATATTTTTTGCCGGAAGATTAAAAACAGTGGTGTAGAGCCGATAGAAAATCATCTTAAAAGGGACTCTTTTATTAAAGGTTATGATTCGTTCGATAGTATTTTTGTAGGATTTTAATGATCATCTATATACATTTATAAAAAATTAATTTAAGCCTAAAAATATTGATGATACTTACAGGAAGTAATGTTCAAAGCAAGGATATGCCAGATGAAAAACTTAAGATGTTCCTGCGTGTGTTCTCCAGTATAAAGCAACGTGTAATTTGGAAATTTGAGAACGAATCCATTCCTGATCTACCTAAAAATGTATTAATAAGGAAATGGTTGCCACAAAGTGATATACTAGCACATCCAAATACTAAGCTATTCATAACACATGGAGGTCTCTTTAGCACACAAGAAGGAGTGCACCATGCTGTACCAATGCTGGGAATTCCATTCTATTGTGATCAGGTACGTATAAATATGAAATTGAAGATATCATTGAAGATATTAGTATAAAAAATTTTTATTTTCCTTTCAAGCATCTTAATATGAATAAAGCTGTTAAGAATGGATATGCTATAAGTCTTCACTTTCAATCAATTAATGGGGACATATTGAGAGGTACTATAATCAAGTTGCTAACAGAGAGTACGTACAGGGAGAATATAGAACGCATATCAGCAATATTTCATGATCGGCCAACACATGCACGTGATACCGCTATGTATTGGATCGAATATGTGATCAGATATAAGGGTGCCTCGCATATGCGATCGGCAGGTCTGGATCTCAAATGGTATCAATACTATTTACTGGATGTGATTGGTTTTGTTTTGGCAATGATAATTTTAGCTGTGATATTGGTAGTTATATTAATACGTCTAATGCTAAAACGTATTTGGCGTGCGCCACGAGTACCAAAACCAAAAACTAATTAATTATAAGTAAATTTGTAATACTAAATTATGTTTATAAGTATATTTTATAGAGATATGTCATATTATCAAAAAATTGAGGAAGATATTATTGTGACGAAGTGTATGTGATAAATATTTTAATTAAACAAATTTGTATTGTATAAATATTTTTGCTAATGAGTGTTAAATAAATTGTTTATGGACAATATAAAGGCATTTGGTCTATAATTTTATTTATAAGAAAAGATGTCAATTTTAAACCCAATAAGCCCTATCAGGTCACGCAGTACTTGTTAGTATAACTAAAAAAATAGATGTATTAAAGAAGAAAAATATAATTCTTAGAAGATAATCTATTGTGCTTTACGAACGATTAGCAATTATGATGTGACATACTAAATGACTCATATTCTATAACATTCTATAGTCTAGTCTAGTCTATTGCAGCAACTATTTAATAAAAAGTTTTTTTGATGTAAACATACATTAATATTTGTTTAATATGTATTAGAATACCAATTGAATAAACATTTTGTTTGTATTACGAATGTTTTTAATTAAAAAACAAAATACGATAGTTGATCGGTTAACCAAACTAAAGCTGTTTTAAGCATATATATTAACATATATGTATAATAAATATATTCTGATAAATTTTTAAATTAAGTGGTTCTTTATGACTATACGATAGGTACTGCAAAAATGGCAAACAAATTGTGCAGTCTACGGTGAGGATGCTGTAAGTGAACATCAGACCTAGGAATCATTTCCCCGATTGTTTCTCGGAAATTTTAATGTCAAAAATGTACCTCGTTCTGAGCAGCCAACTAATAACATAATTCATAAAAGTTTTTAACTGGTGGAACAAGTTCTACAAGCAAGCTATGAGAAGAGAACAGAGACACCACTAGTACCCACTGGTATCTCTGCTGATGAATAAGCTGTCAGAAGAGATTAAACATAAATCATAAGACAGTCTGAAATTATAAAAGAGCAGACAATGCAAGGATCCTCAATATTAAGGTACCAAATTAATTAAAGCAAACAAGTAGGCTTGAGGGAATTACCATCAGTGAAACGTTGTTGAAATTCAAGGAAGTCAAACCTTTTTGAAGCAAATCATTATGGATGATAAAAAATAAATTAAATACAGAAATTGATAAAACAAGTGATCAAAGTCAAAGTCAGTGAGACTCTACAAAAAATATCATTAATTAGATTGACGACAAACAAGGTTACGTTGGGTGTTACGTGGAATAGGATAGGAATTGTCTATTATAAACTTCTCTAGCTTGGTATAAAACTTAATTACTGACTAGCAATCAGATGGTAGTTGCAGTTTCTGTTAATCTCTTTCAGTGGTGAAAAATACACCGACCAAACAGCCGTTGAAAATTACTTTTCAAAGTTTTCTTGGCAGGCCACTAAAATTCTATGCTGATAAAATTAAGAAACTACCCGAAAATTAGCAAAACATCATGATTGGTTTGGTTAATTTTAGTGGCAAGCAATCAGATCACTTTCCATACATCTCAATTAGCGATTTTTCGTCACACTCGTCGCAAGAAATTCTTAGATAGAAGAATACAGACTTAATCTATCCTGTCAAATTTAGATAATTTAAAAGTTCTTTCGTCTTTTCCGCAGTCTGATAAGCAGTCAAAGCAATACCTTCCCAAAAACTTATATCTTCTGGACGCTAAAGCTTGGTTTTCACAGTGAAAGTGTTTAATGGTTTCTTTTTCGTGCAGGTTTCCACAACTTTTGCACTGAAGATTATGAGGAATGTTCACTTTTTCTATGTGGGTTCCTATACACCAATGAACAGAAGGAACTGCATTACGCCTTTTAATCTCTTTTGGTA